AAAAAAAAAAGAAAGTTTCAGACAAAATTCTGGTGTGGTATTTTGGAAATAAGCTTTATCATTATGTTTATAGAAAACTGCACAAAGGGACATGGAGAAAAAAAAGTGAAATCTATTCACCAGAATTCTTTTATCTTGTTTACCCCTGACTGATAGAGGCCCTCGAGGTTGGAATTGTTAGAAGATTGTTTCTTTTTTCTTATCGCTTGATAAAAGTAATTGTATTATTAACATATTTTTTCGAATGTTTGGTACTTTTCCTTACACATGACACTCATGTTTCAAATTCATAGTAATTATGAGAATTTGATATAGTATTCCAGACTATCTTTTAAATCCCTAAGGAATTCAACAATACTTTGTCTGAAATAAAATTTTCTACTTCCATTAAAGATATTATGCCTAGAATTCAACCACCTTGTCATACATTTTATATTTCATTGCAATAACCATAACAATAATAAGTCTATTCCTTGTGAAACATTTGTAATCAAAATATACAAATTTTGTTGGCAATAGGTCAATAACAATATTTGAAAATTAATATTTTGTTATTGTTTTCCTCTGAAAATGTCATTACAATAAAAAAGAAAAGATTGACCTTAGCTTTCTGTAAGTGAGTTTGAATATATGTGTGCACGTTGTTGGTGCCATTGTAAGTACTGTGAAGTTGCTTCCAAATCATAGCCGAACCAAATGATGCCTGCTCAAGTGCCATCCTCACAAAAGTAAGCATGTTTGGACCCACCATTATCTCCATAGCTACCGCATCAATCCAGCTCACTGAGGGTTTTCCTTTTTTTTTTTTATAAGCTGAATCTCTGTTTTAACAAGTTCGGCTGATAACATGCTCGAGTAAGGAAGACAGAGTCTCACCATCCTAGCCTCTAAGGAGCACTCTGGCTATGCGTCTTCCAGGAGAGATTGCTCATCCTTCTGGAGGACCACAGTGTCCTAGCTCTCCTCTTCCATTATCGTCATTCGCTGGCATCCATTCTTCTCGTCTCCCTTATTCACTGGCTGGCTCTCCCAGGCATCCGAGGCCATTGAAAATACTACGGCTTGCTTAGTCAGGGGAATCTTAGTCATTCAAGTGACTTCTTTGCATTTTTACATGTTAGAGAGGCCTTTTGCAGCATATTTCCTCAACACAATACATATACACACACATTTAGATGACATATATGCACACTTAGATGTCTAGAAAGCTGAATGTTACCAAACTCTTGAACAGGAAAGAAATGGTGGCATTCAGATTGAGCTAAATGTCAATACACAAGAATGCTCATTAAAAACATTAATTTTCTTGCCCTCCAAACAGCTTGTAGAGTAGAATAAAATGCTGACCTAATGTGGAAATAACCCTTCATAAATGTGTATCTTGTCAATAATATTGGCTCTGACTATTTTTCTCAGTAAGTATAGAATTTGTGAAAGGGCACTAGTAATATTGACAAACCATGCCTAGGAGTGTCTATAAAATTCTATTGCATTCTTCATTCTCTGGCACTATGTTACTCTTGATAGGAGTTAAAATAAAAGTAGTACAAAATCATCTGAATTAAACACATATATAAAATAGTGGTTGTACCTGAAAATATAAATAATTTACTTCGTGATATGTACAGAATATATGTTTGATTTATTTTTTTTACTTCATCTTCTTCTGAAATGCAAGCTTTGATGGGGTACAATTTTAATTTAAGTATTATTATTTTTAAAAAGTATCATTGAATATTTTTTCATTTGTGCTTGTATCTCATAGAATTTCTCCCAATTCTCTTAAAGACCAAATGAAGAAATACAGGCATGGAGGAAGTAGAGGTTAGGTGCATTTAAATCTGACTAAATCATGATGACCTCTGACTGTTAATAATAGATAGGGTAGCAGCCTCTGCTTTGTTGCAGAGGGTAGGCAGGGCCTGTTTCATTCAGGATTTATTAGTGAGGCGAGATAAGACCTAGGAGATGGATTTTATAAAACCCTAGTGAACCCAAAAGTTGGGAGTTATTAGAAAAGAAAATTCAAACAGTTCAAAAGAACCACAACAGGATGTTTTAGGGACAAAAATCTAGAAAGTAAAATTTAATAATTTTACTTCTCAAAGGTTCACATACTTTGGACATGTTATCATGAGAGACCAGTTCCTGGAGAAGGACATCATGCTTGGTAAAGTGGAGGGGCATCAGAAAAGAGGAAGACCCTTGACCAGATGGATTGGCACCATGGCTGCAACAAGGGGCTCAAAATAAGAACAATTGTGAGGATGGCACAGGACCGGGTGGTGTTTCGTTCTGTTGTCCACAGGGGCACTGTGTGTTGGCACTGCATGGATCTGACCCGATGGCACCTAACAAGAACCACCACAGAGTCAAAAGAGACAAAAACAACAGGATGTTGAAGACCCGGCTGGACCCAAGTTTTTATTGGAAGTAGGGAAGCTTTGCATTTGAATGTGTAAGTCACATGTGAATTACTGTTTGGAAAAAAAAGGTTCAATCTGAGGTTGCAGTAAAAGCATACTGTCTGTAGTCCAGCACATACTTGCTATGGTTTACTCTGGCCCATATAAGATCACACCTGTCCAATCCCATTCTAACACCTCAGAAGGTCAGTGAGTGTTTGCTGGGAAAGACAACCACTGTATTGGGAGGTTAAGAATCCACACGATAAGGAAAAGTTAAGGGAATTGGGATTTTATTAACCCGATGAAAGAAAAACTTCTGTAAAATGCAGAGATCTTTGGATACTTGAAGGAGTCTGATAGAGTTGGAAGAACAGCCTTTGCGCATGTTGTGACAGAGGAGAAACTTGAAATAGTCAATGGAAATGACAAGAGGGGAATTTGTGTTAACAAGTCAGGGTAATAAAGAGGATATGGGATCTAGAGGCAGAAACACCAAATCCCAGACCTTGTGCTATTAATTTTTCTTATTATCTGTGATTCTAGGCAATTCTAATTCTCCAAATCAGAGAATTCTCATCTACATGTTAACAGAAGTTAATGGTAATGATTCTATTTAGTACAATGATTATTTCTTCAATAATCTTAAGACAAATCACCCATAAAAAACTTTTAAAACTTTAAAATCTTTTTTTAAAAAGTATAATAATAGTCACAAGAACGGCACACCCATTGTTGAATTAGAAGCTGACTAGTTGTCAATCCTTACAAGGAGTTCTTGAGATGAGACTGAACTGCACCGGGGAACTGGAGATTATTGCTATACTCCTGAATGCAAATATAAATCATTCTCGTATCGTGTGCTTTATCTCAGTAAGAAGACACAGTAAATCGTAATGACAGGAGGGCCTCAAAGAGTCACAAGTTATTCTGGCTTGAGAATGCAGTTAATATTGACAATCTTCCATCAAATGGCTAGAACTCAACAGATATATTTACAACTTAACATGGAAAACCAAAATATGGTGACAGCGGTCTAAATCAAGTTACTGTTAATTTTTTTTACCCAAACAATAACTTTACATTTCTGTTGCCAATCTTGAAAAGATATAGAATTTTATGGGCTGCAAAACCTCTGCCCAAATCTCAAGTCTCAAAATTAGGCTTTGACAGTTGATGCTATCCTTATGCCCATATGCTTGCTATATTTCAACTTTACTTTTATTAGTGTTCAGAAATAAAGAACCCGTGGGTTGGTAATGCCTGCCAGTTGTTCCAAGTTTACTTACCCTCTGACCTTCTTTTCCAGGTGGACCTTGGGGGCCTTGGATCCCTGGAGAGCCCTACAAGTAAAGAAAAAAACCCCAACAGACACATGAATAGAATATTTCAAGAATACATCTGCTTTACAAAGAATGCCATGAAAATGAATCCCTACTTCATTGGTGAAATATAACTTTCAAAGCGATTGGGCTCTTTCAATTGCTTAATGATTATGAAC